CTCGCTGCCTGAGGCACAGTAGGAAGAAGCTGGTGTCTGAGGCCCAGTGCGGCTGTGGGCTGCCAGAGGGTTGAGAGGAGCCTGCTTTTTACCACCCCACAGCCTGCTGTCCCTTTTTAATCTTGCACTACAAACATGTTTTATGTGCTCAAGACAATATTTAGTATTGTTAGCAGTTTGTCCACCATTAGAAAACCTTAAGAATCAGTAAAAAATACAAAAGCAAAGGAAAATAACCACAGACACAGCCAGTGCAGAGGACCTCCACAGGTCACAACCCGTCCTGCAGCTGGCAGTGGCAGACTGCCCCTGGGGTCACCCAGTCACAGGGACCCAGCCTCTCCTATAGAAGAGCTATGAGCTTAGGCAAAGAGCTGGGCCCACATCGACACCAGAACGACATGCCCCTAGCCTGTGCTCCCTCTGCATGACCTTGGAGAACACAGCTCTGGCCTTCTGCCTTGGGACCCTGGGTGGTGAGCACCTGCTCAGGATGCACACAGTTGGGACAGCCGGAGATGACAAGAAATGGTCACAACGTCTTTGCATCTCTCCCTGTCCAAAGCTAGAATCTACTTCTCTATGTCCTGAATCCTGGTTGGCCAACAAAATGTGGCAAACCAAGATGGCACATTTCTGAACCCAGATGTCAAGGTTCTCAGAAGCTTGGGTTCTCGATATCTTGGAATGCTGATGTTTGGTTTCCCATCGAGTGTGAGAAAGGAGAGATGGAGCTAACAGGAGGAAGGAAAATGGGCCTTTATTGAGAGTATGGAAGGCTGCTGAAGACAGCCAGCAGCCTTCAGAAGTTTCAGTAACAACTGCGGACTTTTCATCTGAAAGCTGACAGGGGCAGAGCTAAAGAGATGGATAGAATGATGCACTGACAGCCAATGGGAGGAGCGAGAAGAGTGGGAAGTTTGACTTGCAGGGTTTGCGAAAAGAACAAAATGGGGCACTGTCCAGCACCAAAAGAAAGTGGTATATGAGGAAAAGCCTATCACCTGACACCAGCTAAGCATCCAGGTTAGCCTTCCACAGAGGCCACATGAAGGACAGCCACGGTGCCAGCCAGCAGCCTGCCCCACAACACCTATAAGCTACACCACCACAGGTCACCCAGGCCCCCAGCAGCTGATCCTGCCACATAATGAGGTTGGGGCAGCTGGCAGAAGACTGGCCACGGAGCCAGCTAGGACCCACACACTTGAAAAGAGCAAATGAGTTATTTTAAACCATGATATGTGAAGGTGGCTTGCTATAGAGAAACAGAGAAGTGCTTCACAGGGCAAAAGAGATGGCCGTGGATCTGCTAGTGGTAGGTGGAAATGGCACGGTGATGGACTCCCATGATGATGGGGGGGCCGTTCCCAACAGACTCATGTGAAAATGGAGATAGGGGTGATAGCGGTCATGATAGCAAGGCTGACGATAATGTCAGTAATGGTGTAGAGATGATACTGTGAAGGTGGAGATAATAATGGTGGCAGTGATTGTGGTGGGCATGAGGGTAAAAGTGGTGGTGATGGTGGGAAGGATAGTGATGATATTTGTCGTGGTGTGGTGATGGACTCACTGTGGAAGTGGAGGTGGTGGTGGTGATGGAATGGGCATGACTGTGGTGTTTGTGGTTGTCATGATTTATACCTGGATGTCCCTCCAAAGCTTCATGCATGTAGAGGTGGGGCTTTTAGAAAGCTGTAGGATCATGCAGCACTATACTCACTGGTGGTTTAGCTCACTGATGAGTTTATAACTACATGTGTTGTTCTGAAATGGAGCCTGGGTTGGAAAAATCAGCACTGGGGTCATAGCCTAAAAGGCTGCACAGTATCTCCCTGCCGACTCCTCCCTCGACTCTCTGCCTGCCAGCCACCATGAGCTAAGTCACTTTCCTTCTGCCAGACTCCCCTATCATACCTTGGAGCCAGCTACGGACTGAAAACATGAGCCAGAGTAAACCTCTCCTCCTTTAAATTGTGGGTGTGGAATATTCTCTCCCAACAAGAAAGTATGTAAGACAGTGGTTTCTGATTCCTCTAAGTTATCACAGAATGAGTTAATCTTGTTTGACATGGTTTTATCTATTTTTCCTGTTAGGTGTGTTCAAAAAATACATAATATCTTTGAGTGATATGTATCTCTAAAAGTCCACTTATCTGCTGGCCCCCTTCCTAGGAAAATGAACACAAACAAGTTTTGCTCAGCCTTGGAGCAAAGTGACCTGCCCTTTGACTGGGGCTTCCACAAGGAGCCTCTTGTGGCTTTCTGATACACTCGCACCCCAGAGGCAACACTGGAGAGATTGTGTGTGCAGCCTTCCTATGCCAGCACAGAGCTGAGCTGTAGGACAGCCGAGTGACCCTTCAATTCAACACAGTGCAACTAGTGAAAAGGAGCTTTTGTTGGGACATAAATATTTTGAGATACATGTAATCTGACTGCATGTGGTTTAGATATACCTAGAGATAGTAGAGGGAAAATAAACATCACCACCATACCAAAGATAGAAGTACTGGAAATTTCTCACCTCGCCTACCTCTCCATGGGATGGACAGCCTCCACTGGGCTGCCCTGTGGTGCAAGATACACCAGCTCAGAGCTGAGTGGAGCTCTGTGAGCATCACATCGGAGGGTTGCCACCACCAGGCTGGCTTTCCTTCCTGAGAAATGTCTGCGATATCTTCACATCTAGGAAAAATGACCCCCAGAACTGTCATATGGCACTCACAGCACCTCCCACCTGGCCATACACGTGTCCTTCCTTACCTGGTCTCCACACCCCTGGACTGTGGTCCTGGATTTCACTGGAAATGTCAACAACTGTCTCTGCCAAGGCTACATGGTGTTCCATGTTTGTTGTACAAAAAACAGGCTGTCCTGAGCATGAAGGGCCACAGAAGATGCTCTGGGTGGGCCCAGGCCTTCCCTCGTCTGCAGAGTGGCCAGCGTGCACTGCAACCTGAGCACAAAAAGCTCTTCCCACTGCAGCACACGTGAGTCTTCATAGCCCCATTGGTCTTCCTGGCACCAAACGCCTGAGCTGCCTACATTCCTTCCCTCCAGGATTACTTTCATCACCTGCCCCATCATCCTTCCCTAGCAAGAGGCCAGGATGGCACTCAGCGTTCCTCAGATCCTGTGTCCTCACAACCCCTCACATCCAGTCTGAACAGCTGTCCATTGTCTCCATTTATCCATTACCTTTGTTCCCTGACAACCACTGGCTTCTGACCCCATGGTCCTCACCCTGCTGGTAGGCAACTGTGCTGTATCTCTGCAGCTCCCTGACACAGAGCCAGGGCCTCTGGTCTTCCCCAGATCACCCGGGACTACAGCCTACTGGTCTTCCCTAGATCACCCCGGACTTCCCTGTACCTGGACAGCCTCCAACAGGGAATCCTGTCACACTGTGGGGGAGCCCTGCAACATCATCCCACACAGAAGATGGGAAGTGTCACAGCCGAGTCCTCCACAGATGCCCAGCCCAGGCCTCAGGGCCAGGACCCGCGTGCAGACCAGTCCTGGCCAAGCTCTCAGGTGCCTGGGGCCAGGCTGGCATCTGTCATCTTTGGGAGGTGGCAGCTGTCTCTTCAGCTCCCAGACAGGAAGCCCCACAGAGCTGGGGAGGTGGGAAGGCACCTTCTCCTCACAAAGCAGATATAGCCCTGGGCAATGACCACCGGGCACCACTCCTACACTGAACCCCAGAGCCACCACACCGTTTCCTGAGGCTACCCCACTGGAATCCTCAACAATTGGGCCCCTCTTTTACCCCAAAGACAATGTGTGCTCCAACCAGGATGGTGGCCTCCACCTTTCTGGAAGCAGCTACTTTGCCATTTCCCATCCACCACCCCTACCACTTGTGGTAACCAAGTCTCCTAGATGCAGGCTCCACTGCAGAATTGAGCCAGGGATTTACCCGGGAAGTGCTGTGAGGATGGAGAAGGTGCCAAGGATATCCACCTCAGACTGCAGGTGAGGGGGAAGGACGGGTTAGTGGAAGAGCTGCAGTGTCCCTGGACTATCCTGGCCAGGTCCAAGTGGACACCCAGCACCAAGGTAATCGCTGACAGGAAAATCTGCATTCACCCAGAGCCACTTATGGGAGACGGGCTGAGCTCAGGGCCAACTGAGGGGCAGCCCTCAGGGCAAACAGCTGAGCCTCTGCCCAAGGCTGCCGTGGACTGCTACACTCAGCACACTCGACATGGAAGCTGCAACACTCATACACAGCACTGGCTCAGGAGATGTCCATTCACACACTCACACCCACTCCCTCATGGGCCCTGGGAAGGCTGCTGGACAAAGGATAGTGCCAGATGGTGCTGGGGTAACACTTCCCTTACACCAGGGCACTCGGATGCCTCCCGGAGCCCACCCTTAGCCACCTTAGTGTCCAGCCAGGAGAGGGAACACCAGCAAAGAGGCCGCTGGGCCTCATCAGGTAGTGGCAAGGAAGGACAGGGGACCAGGGCATCCCACAGCAGGGCCACTTCCTGGTGTCACCAAGGAGGGGCTGAACCAGAGATCAGTAGCACGCTGGGGTCATCCCTGTATCTGGCCAGGCTCCTGGGTGGACCAGCTAATTGGTCACCTCTGGGTCTACAGGAACATGTTGGGGTCAGGGCCCCCAAGCAGCCCGTGAGGTTCTTGCAGGAGGGCATCAGGCCTGGTGGCCCCAACCCCACCGCTCCCAGCCGACCCCCATCACCTTCAGAGGCAGAGGAAGGGTGGGGAAGGGACAGACAATTCAAGGACCCCAGGACACAGCTCTGTTGGGCCCAGGGTCACAGAGCCAGGGATCCGGAGATGGGGCGACCTGCGTGGGCACGGCCTCCCTCAATCGAAGGCGGGGACCGGGACCGGCCTGGGGCGGGGACCCCGCGGGCGGACCGGCCAGGACCTTGGGTTGGGATTGTCGCGGTGCTGCCTCGCGTACTGTCTCCTCCCACCCCGGCCCCGCGGCTCCCGCGGCCCGGCAGCGCCCCCCGGTGGCCGCTGCCCCGCCGAGGCGGGAGAAAGGGGCGGCCCGTCCCGTCCCGTCCGTCCCTCCCCGGCTCCCAGGCCTCGGTCCCTCCCGCGCCGCCGGCCTCTTCTGCCCACTCGGCGCCCGCGTCTCGGGCCGGCAGGACCGCAGCCCTAACCCAGGTGAGTGATGCCGTCGGGCTGTGGCTAGGGTGGCCGTGGCGCGGCCGAGGGGGCCTCCGAGGGGCTGGGTCGCTGGGCCCGTTCCCACTGCCGTGCTCCCACTGGGCACTACCGTGCAGCCCCGCCACGGCGGGTGTCGCCTGCCCGCGCCCCACTCGCGACTGTCCCTCATCGCTGCCCGCTGCTTTTTAGCTTCTGGGCAATACGATCTGGTGGGGGGGGGGGGGGCCTCGGCGCCTCACTTCCCAGCTCCTGGCTAACCTGGGACCAAGACTCCTCCATCTCCAAGGGCCCCCGAGGGTCCGGAACCCAAGGTCTGGACTCTGGCCTGGGGACTTGGGGATGGAGAGCTGAGAGGACCCACACACACATATACACACACACACTTGGACCCCAGCAAGGGGTCTCAGAGTACTCTTCCTGATGGGAGGAGGGGGCCCTCTGGGCAGCAGGGGAGAAGGAGGTGGTCTTTGGTGCCTTGTGGGGACAGAGCAGGTTACAGCCCCTTTTCCCAGAGGACAGTCCAGCTGCTCAGCAGCCCCTGCTGTGGGGTGTGTGCACATGACTGAGGGACCCCTCTAGAGAGGAGGGAGCCCAGAGGAACAGCACCACCGCCCAGCACCCACCCTGTACTCCAGGAGGCAGCAGCAGAGCCCCCAAGGCCCATCACACATAGGTGGGAAGGTTTGTCTACCACCTCCTGGACATACACCTGGTCGACCTTGGCTCACTGGAAACCTGGAGCCCTTGCCCAGGGAAGACCACACCACCCAAAGGAGGCCTGTGAGCCAGCGATGTCCTGTTGTTTCTCTTCCAATTAAGTAGCGTTGGCTTGGCAGCCAGCTCACTTCAACCCCTCTGCTCTCTGAGCCCAGGAGGCAAAGCTGTCACCCACCCCAGGGAGAAGGCAGGTGTCCTAGGCCAGGCTAAAAGGGTCACACAGGAGGGACCCCTCTGCAGGGCATCTAAGTCTTGAGGCCAGTAAGCTTCTCAAACACTGCCCCCTCTGCTAGCGACGGTGGCATGGGCGGGGTCCTTGGAGAACTCTGAGTAAGTGGGAAGGGCAGCATCCCACCAGGGCAGGCCCAGCCCTTGGCCCATTTGTCAGGGCCCCAGGCAGCCCCTGTCTACCCTGCTGGGGACACTGTCTCCAGCAGACATGGCAGCTCTTTTGGGAAGAATTCTGGTATCTCAGGGCCTGGGAGACTGTGGACAGCCAGGCCTCCAGATGCATGCTCCCAGGGTCAAGGACAGAGGACAAGCCAGCACCTCCTCAATGGACTATAGATCTGCCCAGGCCTCTGAGTCTGAGAACAGCGCAGGCCAGAGAGCAGCCCCAGATCCGTTAGACAGATTCTGCTCACAGTCACAAACCTCAGGTTTTAACAGCTGGGAAAACACAACTCTTGTGATTATTCAGGGAAAACACAGAAGGTGAGACCTTCTCCTTCCCTAGGGCACTGCACCCTGGCAAGTCAGCCTGCTCCGCCCTCATGTGTCCATACTGAGCCAGGGACCCCAGTGTGGGCCACTGCCCCAGGGCGCACATGAACAGAGGCTGCAGAGTAGGGCATTCTTCAGGGCACATGCCATAGACTGGGAGCCAGGCGGGCGGGGCCGTGGGCCCTGTGTGTGAGGGCGTCAAGCCTGTGGTCAGAGCTCATGGAGAAGCAGAGTGGGAGCGGCTCCCTGTGGCGGGTGCTGCTGTGGTCTTTTTCCCACTTGCCCGCCCCATGGGGACACCGCTGTCTGATATGGGTTTACTCTGGGTGGCTTTGGTTTTATGCCTTGCAACATTATCTGGTCACTGACATGTGTGGTTTCACTGTGACTTGCCTAGCTGTGAGTTCTGCCGCGTTCCTACTGGTGTTCATCTTCTTACTTTTTAGCAAGAGCTTCACACAAACACACAAATTTTTTATTGTGGTAAAATATGTGTACTATAAACCTTACTGTCTTATTCATGTTTAAGTGTGTGGTTTGCGGTGTTGAGCACATTTTGTTGTTCTGCAACGATCACCACATCCACATCCAGAAGCTGTCATTTTGCAAAACTAACACCCGTGAACAGTCATACAAATGGCCAATAAGCAGATGAAATGATGTTTGCAATCTGCAATACCTTGGCTCCTCCAGCCCTTCCACTCTGTCACCTTGACTGTGGTTGCCCCAGGTGATCCACTCAAGAGAAGCCATATCACATTTGTCACTTGGTCCGATTCCTTCTGCTCAGCAGAACGGCCAAGTCCATCCATGGCATAGCACCCAGCAGAGGTGCTTCCCTTTTGCCAACGGGTGAGTCTGTGCCGTTTCCTGTTTTGCTTACCCGCTCAGCTGCTGCAGACAGGTGGGTTGCTCCCACGTGTGTTGGGGCTGTTGGGAATGACACTGCTGCAGACACAGGCAGCATCTGAATGCCTCTTCCCTGCATTCAGGTGACCCTGCCTCAGCTCCTTTGAGTCTTTACCCAGAACTGGAACCACTGAGTCATGGGTGCTGCTTATACTTTTGAGGACCCATCATCCCGTTTTCCACAGTGGCTGCCCCATTTTGCACCCCCATCAGGGTTCCCTTCACCCCACAGACTCACAGCACTCATCCTGTTCATGTTTTACAGAACCTATACTGTGAGTGCGGGACAGCATCTCCTGATTCTGATTTGCATGCCCCTGATAGTGATGGTGACCATTATTTCATCTGCTTGTTGGCCATTTGTATGACTTTTTCAGAGAAGTACCTGAAGTCCTTTGCTCATTTTTGAATAAGTTTGTTTTTGTTGTTGAGTTTTGGAAATTCTTCTTCTATTCTGGATATTAGTCTATATCAAATAAGATTTACTGATATTTTCTCCCATCTCTGGAATCTCTTTTCACCCTGTTGGTAGTGTCTTTCAATGCAAAAAAGTTCATATTTTCATGAAATCCAATTTATCATATTTTTGTTGCTGTTGTTGCCTATGCCCCTGGTGTCAGATGCAATAAATTCTTGTCAAATCCAATGTCATGACTTTAGAACAACACCAGGCTTTCTCTTTAGAGTTCTGCAGTCTTAGGTTTTCTCATGTTAGATCACATTCTGAATTGATTTTGTGCATAGTATCAGGTAAGGATCTAACATTATCATTTGCATGTAAATGTATCATTTTCTTAGGACCATTTTTGAAAGGACTGCCTTTTCCCCAGTGAATGATGTTGGAACTCGAGTTGGAAATCTTCAACCATGTATGTTGGTTGGGCTAATGTGCAGACCTGTCCTTACAGAGGACCATGTGTCTTGTCTTTATGTTAGTATCATACTGCGCTGATTATGTACCTTTGTAATAAATTTTGAAATCAGAAAATATGAATTCTCTGACTTTGTTCTTCTTCAATATTGTTTTTGATATCTAGGATTCTCTGAGATTCCAAATGCATTTAGGATGTTTCTCTATTTCTGAAAAGAAATCAGTCAGATTTTAATAAGAATTGTACTAAATCTTTAGATCAATTTTACTAATATTGTCATCTTAACAGTATTACATCTTCCAATCCATGAATGTAAAATATCTGTTCCCCCACACACACCGGGGATCGAACTCATGACCTTGCACTTGTCAGGCAAGTGCTCATGCCACTGAGCTAAATCCTCAGCCCAATATCTGTTCTTTTACTAATGTCTTCTTCAATTTCTTTCACAAATGTTTCCATTGTACAGGTCTTCTACTTCATAGGTTAATTTCTAAATATTTATTCTTCTGATAAGACTACTAAGTATTTTCTTAATTTCCTTTTTGGGTTTTTCATTGTTACTGTATCCAAATACAATTTGGTTTTATGAGCTGACTTTGTATCTTGCCAATTTGCTGAATTCATTAGTTATAATATTTGTAGAACCATTAAGATTTTCTATAGGAGAGCATATCATCAGCCAGATGTGGTGACGCATACCTGTAATCCCAGAATGCTGGGAGGTTGAGGCAGAAGATCACAAATTAGAGCCCGGTCTACGTAACTTAGTGAGACCTTATTTCAGTAGATAGATACAGATAGATAGATGATAGATAAATAGATAGATAGATAGATAGATAGATAGACAGAAGACAGACAGATGGATAGAGCTGAGGATATAATTCTATCAAAGATCCTGGGTTCAATCCTAAGTATCATAAAAAACTCTATGTGTGTGTGGGGGGGGGTGTGTGTGGGTGTGGGTGTGCGCGCGCGCATGTGCATATACAATCAGCAAACAGAAATCGCTTTACTTCTTCCTTTCCAGTTTGCATGACTTCCGTTTCTTTTTCTGGCTCAATTACATTGGCAAGGACTCTGCGCAGCCTTGAAGGAAGCTCTCTGGGCATGTGTCCTGCTTCACTCCTGACCCTGGGGGAAAGCTTTTGTCGTTTACCTTGGGGATGAGGCTCAGTGAGCTATGGGTCTTCATATATGAATCTCACTGTTGAGGTAGTTTCCTTCTATATTTTGTTAAGTGCTATTTGAAAATCTTGGAATAGTGTTGATGTTTTAAAATGATCTTTCAAGCGGTCATGTGGAGTTTTTAAGCCTTCATTCTGTTAATGAGGCGAATAGCATTGGTCAGTTTTCATCAATCAGTGCTATTTACACTGCAGGAATAAATCCTCATTCGCTGTGTTTTAGACGCTGCTGGATTTGATCTGCCAGCATTTTGTTGAGGATGCTTGCTTTCCTGTTTGTAAGGTATTTTGGTCTGTAGTTTTTGTCTCTTGTAGCGTGTCTGGCTTTGCTACACCCCCACCCTTCAGGTCTTGTGGAAAGTCTGAGAGGGTCTGGTGCTAATTTTTCTTAGATGTTTGGTAAACTTCTCTGCTGAGGCACTCAGGTCCAGGGACTTTTTTATCAAGAGAGTTTTTGTTACTGATTCCATCTCTGTTAGTTATAAGTCTGTTTATGGCTTAGTCTTGGTAAGTTTTATGTTTCTAGGAATTTCTCCATTTCGTTTAGATCTTATAATTTGTCAGCATAAAACTTGCTCACAGTACCCTC